AGGAGGAGGAGGAGGAGGAGGAAGAGGAGGAGGAGGAGGAGGAGGAGGAGGAGGAGGAGGAGGACGAGGAGGAGGAGGGGGGGGGAGAGCACCAGGAGGAGGAGAACGAGGACCACCAGGAGGAGGAGGAGGAGGAGGAGGAGGAGGAGGAGGAGGAGAGAGCACCAGGAGGAGGAGGACGAGCAAGACGAGGAGGACGAGAACGAGGACGAGCAGGAAGGAGGAGAGGAGGAGGAGGAGGAGGAGGAGGAGGAGGAGCAGGAGAAAGAGGAGGAGAGGAGGAGGCAGGCTGAGGCTGAGGCTGTGACTGCGACTGCCGTTGCCGCTGCGACTGTCATCGCGAATGCGACTACGACTGCGAGAACAGCAGAATTCGACAACTGGATTTTCATCTGAATCTTAAGGGGAATGCTTTCAGATATGCTTCTACACATCGCTGTTAGGTTGCTTTGCCGGGATAATGTTACCTAACAGCGAAGACTGATAGGTTTCTAGTGGTCTAAAAAGAGCTCACAGATCACTCCACAGGGGGGTCCGGGCAGGTGTTGGGAGTTGCCGGGCGGGCCTGTGCCGAGCTCGTTTTTCACCAACAGTCACACACTTCGTGCTCTTCGACTTCCCAGAACTCCATTCCCAGGCCACATTCTGGATGCCCGGATGCAACTGTAGGCCACTTCGTGCTCTTCCATTTCCCAGAACTCCATTCCCGGGCCACATTTTGGATGCCCGGAGCCAACTGTAGGCCACTTCGTGCTCTTCGATTTCCCAGAACTCCATTCCCGGGCCACATTTTGGATGCCCGGAGCCAACTGTAGGCCACTTCGTGCTCTTCGATTTCCCAGAACTCCATTCCCGGGCCACATTTTGGATGCCCGGAGCCAACAGTAGGCCACTTCGTGCTCTTCGATTTCCCAGAACTCCATTCCCGGAGCCAACAGTAGGCCACTTCCTTAGAACTCCATTCCCGGTCCCAGAACTCCACTCCCGGGCCACATTTTGAATGAGGCAGGCTGATGCTGAGGCTGAGGCTGGCAGGCTGAGGCTGAGGCAGGCTGAGGCTGAGGCCGAGGCTGAAGGCAGACTGAGGCTGAGGCTGAAGCAGGCTGAGGCTGAGGCTGAGGCAGGCTGAGGCTGAGGCAGGCTGAGGCTGAGGCTGAGGCAGGCTAAGGCTGAGGCTGTGACTGTGACTGCCGTTGCCACTGCGACTGTCATCGCGAATGCGACTACGACTGCGAGAACAGCAGAATTCTACAACTGGATTTTCATCTGAATCTTAAGGGGAATGCTTCCAGATATGCTCCTACACATCGCTGTTAGGTTGCTTTGCCGGGATAGTTTTTGTATGTTTTTGGGGCCCCAGAAGGGGGCGATCAGTTTGGCACGGCGCTGTGGCGCGGTTCCCACGAGGAGTTAGGGGGGAGACATGATAAAGTATTACAATACAAGATGTTGCAATTATTGAATCTTTGGATACATAGGATACGTTGCATTAAGGCGTTCGCCGAAAAACGCTGCCGCTCAGCACGTCACCTCCGGACGTGGCTTCTTCTCGCTTCGCGGGGTGCACGTCCAGAGCACGTACAGTCACGTCGTCGCGGGGCCTGTTGGGAGCCTCTTGGGGGCTTCCTGGAGGCCTCCTGGGAGTTTCTTGGGGCCTCTTGGGGGCTTTTTGGGGGCCTTTCTCCCTTTCTTCCTTTTCATACACCCTCCCCATATTCCCTTCCACAGCCGGCTCTAATCATGGGCGCCGCAGTGACCAACTTCCACTTGGCTGGCGCTGCGCCGCAATTCGCCCAGAGGAGGGAAAATAACATTACACTCCAGTCGCTGTGTGGCCTTTGGGTTTTTTGGGGGGGGCCGTTTTGGAGGCTTCTGGGGGACTTTTTGGGGGCCTCTTGGGGCCTCTTGGGGGCGCTTTGGGCCGTCTTGGGGCGCCTTTGCGCCGTTTTGCCCCCTCGGAGGCTGTCTTGGGGGCCTCTCGCGGCCGCATTGGAGCCCTCTCGGGGTCCTCTTGGGCCGTCTTCGCGGCCTCTTGGGCCGTCTTGGGGGCCACTTTGGGCCGTTTTGGGGCCCTCTTGGGTTGTCTTGGGGCCCTCTTGGGGGTTGTTTGGATTGTTTTTGGGCGATTCTGGAAGCTGCTTGGGCCGTCATGGATTTTCGAGAGTCGACAAATGCGAGAACGCTAATATATTGCAGATACCATAGGGAAATCAAGGATTTCGGCCTCTGGAGGCGCAGTTGTGGGCGCTCTTGGAACCCTCTTGGGCCGTCCTTGGGGCGTTGGGGGCCCTGTGGGGGCCGTCATGGGGGCCTCATGGGCCCCCGTTGGGGATATCTTGGGTCGTCTTGGTGCCATCTTCAGGCCATCTTCAGGCTCTCTTGGAGCCCCAAGAGGCCCAAGAGGCCGAAATTGTTGATTTTTCATATGTTTTTGTAAGTTTTCAGGGCCCCAGAAGGGGGCGATCAGTTTGGTACGGCGCTGTGGCGCGGCTCCCAGGGGGGTTAGGGGGGAGGCATGCTAATGTATTGCAATACAATATGCTGCAATTATTGAATCTTTGGATACATAGGATACGTTGCATTAAGGCGTTCGCCGAAAAACGCTGCCGCTCAGCACGTCACCTCCGGACGTGGATTCTTCTCGCTTCGCGGGGTGCACGTCCGGAGCACGTACAGTCACGTCGTCGCGGAGCCTCTTGACGGCCTCTTGGGGGCCTCCTGGAGGCCTCCTGGGAGCTTCCTTGGGCCTCCTGGGGGCTTCTTTGGGGCCTCTCCCCCCTCCCTCCTTGTCAAACTCCCTCCCCATATTTCCTTCCAGCGCCGGCTCTAATCATGGGCGCCGCTGTGACCAACTTCCACCTGGCTGGCGCTGCGCCGCAGTTCGCCCAGAGGGGGGAAAATAACATTACACTCCAGTCGCTGTGTGGCCTTTGGGGGGCTTCTTTGGAGCCTTTGGGAGGCTTCTTGAAGACATCTTGGAGGCCTCTTGGGGGCTTTTTGGGGCCCCTTGGGGTCCTCTTGGGGTCCTCTTGGGGCCCCTTGGTGGCGTCATTGGCCGTATTGGGGCGCTTTTGCGCCGTTTCGCCCCTTCGGAGGCCGTCTTGGGGGCCTCTCGCGGCCGCCTTGGAGCCGTCTTGGGGTCCCCTTGGGTCGTCTTCGCGGCCTCTTGGACCGTCTTGAGGGCCTCTTTGGGCCGTCTTGGGGTTTTGTTGGGCCGTCTCGGGGCCCTCTTGGGGGCTTCTTGGGTTGTGCTGGAGCGATTTGCGAAGCTGCTTGGGCCGCAAAGGCGAGAACGCTAAAATAGTGCCCGAACCATAGGAAAATCAATGATTTTGGCCTCTGGAGGCGCAGTTGTGGGCGCTCTTGGGGCCCTCTTGGGCCGTCATTTGGGCTTTTGGGGCCCACTTGGAACCATCGCGGACCGTCCCGGTGCCGTTTTGGCCCGCACAGAGCCCATCTTGAACCGTCTTGGCGCCCTCTCGGCCCCCCAAGAGGCCCAAGAGGTCGAAATCATCGATTTTCCATAAGTTTCGGTAGGTTTCTGAGCCGCGGGAGGGGGGGGGGGGGGGGGGGGGGCACTTTGGTCCGGCCGTGTGGCGCAGCTCCCAGGGGGGTTAGAGGGGGGAAACATAATAGTGTAACACAATACAAGATGTGGCAAGTATGCAATCATTGGATCAATTGGATACGTTGCAATAGGGCGTTCGCCGAAAAAACGCTGCCGCTCAGCACGTCACCTCCGGACGTGGATTCCAAGGCTAACGCCGCACCGCCGACCCCTTTGGGGACTGCGCCGACTCTTGCGTGTTGCTCCCGAGGGACCCGTAGGCGTCTGAAGGGGGTTTCTTGGAGCTCTCTGGATCATCAAGGACGCCCACGGCGAATCGCCGCCGCCCCCTGTCTTTTTGGAAGCGTTTACGTGGCCGAACCATGTGGCCATGGTTCGGCCGAGCCCCATCCGTTGCACAAGTCTTTCGGGGAACACGTGGGGCAGGAAGAAGAAAAAGAAGAAGAAGCAGAAGAAGAAGATGGGACATAATAGTAATATGAATGGTAATACGGGAAAAAATGGAGAAAAGAAAAAGGAAGGAAAAGGAAGGGAAGGCTTCTCGGGAGTCTCTGGGGGATCCTGCTTGGGCATATTCGGGCCCTCCTGGAGGACCTCTTGGAGGCCTTTTGAGATGCTTAAACAAAACCTCTTGTGGGACTTCTGGGCCGTCTTAGGCCGTTTGCGAATCTTCTTGGGCGGACTTAGAAGCATCTTCGACCCTCTTGGGCCGTCTAGGAGGCCATTGTTGGCCATCTTGGGCAAACCTGAGGGCCATCTTGGCCGTCTTGGAGGCCATCGTGGGCAATCTTGGAGCCATCTTGAGCAGGAAAAGCCTTGGCAAGCACCTCTCGAGCAACTTCCTGGGTTGCCGGCGCGCTGCGCCGAAGGCCCAGAGTGAGTTCTAAAATTTTAAAAAGAACCGAGCACATTTCAGAACAACCAGCACGCCGGGCACCCCTGTGACCAGCCAAAAGGGGGCGGCGGATTCACTGGCCTGCGGCACAGCCCGCCACCATGCCTTCGCTGCGGGCCTGAGGCCATTCGGACGGCAGCCCCGACGCTATGCTTTGTTCATGCCGTCGACCCTCAGAGGTCTCGACCCATTCTCCCGGACTGGCTCGTCACTTCTGACGGCCTCGAGGCCCTGCAAGGTCCCTTGGGCCGGCTCTTCCTCCGGAGCCGATTCCTGACGGCCCCGAGGCCCTATCAGGGCCCCCAGAGCCAAAAGAATAGCGAACTCCCTTCTTTCGCGGGTTTTGCCACGCCTCGAGGGGAGCCTGTCGGCGGCAAGACAGTGCAGGAACGGCAGGCGAACGCGGATAGAGGGGGGAGTGGCGGAGGGCGGGAAGGACGCGGGCCGGCAAGTCGGGAAGAGGGCCCGGGCACTGCCCCCCTGGGGCGGCGGCGGCCACTCGGGGAGCGGGGCCCGCCTTGCCCCCCGGCCGGCGAGGTCTTCGGGCGCAGGCCAGAGCTCCTGCAGGACCGGGGGCCGCGCGCTCTCACCGAGCGCGCGCCACTATACTCGCACAAAGTGCCCCCTCGCACACGTCTGAAGAGCATTCGTTTGCCTCGGTGCATATATTGCAAGTCCATCGCGGTGGATCCAGGCCATTTGCGTTGAGTCGGGCGTGTCCCTTTACAGGAGGAGTATTGAAAAATAGTAAAACATAATAGTCTCGGGATGAGTTGTCGATTATGTTTTGGGTCGTTAGGATACGTTTGAGTATTTTTAATTTTTCGTCCAAGATCAGCCTGTAGGGGGACATGCCCGACCTGGCATGTGCGAGTCGCTGCTTTGCGAGTCGTGGAGCACGCTCGCCTACGCTTCGCATGCTCCGGCTGCACCTCGTGCGAGTGGCCCTGCGCCAGAGTGACCTCTGGTGCGCGGCTGTCGGGGTCGCGGGATGGCCCACCCCGGGCGCGGAGGCCGCCACTGCCGCAGCACAGGCAACGACCGGCTGGCCGCGCACCAAAGGCCTCTTCCCCGACATGATCGCGTCGTGAAAAAAAATCAGGACGGAGGCTTTTCGCTATTTTTGGCCCCGGGGGGGCCTGGCTGGGCCCCGTGGCCGTCAAAAAGCGACTCAGGATGAAAAACCGGTCCCAGGGAAAGGGTCGGGATTTCCAGGGACGCCGTCCTGAAAAATATCAGGGCGTCGCACGTCTGGGTTGTTGCCCAGCTGCTCCAGTTTGTTCGATGCGTGGTCCCAGAGGTATGGACCACATCCCTGGGGCCGGCTTGTCCTCCTGCATCGTTTTGTTGACGGTCCCGGGACCCGGCGAGGGCCCTTATGGAGGCCGAAAGCAGCCAAAGACCGCCCGCGCCAACTTCTGTTGGAGCGTCGGCTCTCTCGGCATGGCATGGCCACTCCTGCGTGTGGCCGTCTCGTGGGCGCGGCGCCGCTTTCCTGGCCGGCCTCCCGCCTGCTCCCCCGCACGGCCATCTCCTCCCTTGGCGGCGCGTCTCCTCCTGCCGCCCGTCGCCCCCGCCTCCCAGCGGCCTGCTCCACCGCACTGCCCATCCCCCGCCCCCTTCCAGCCGTTGCAAGAAGTGCGCCCAGCCCAAGGTGCCCCCAGAATTTCCATGGAGGCCCAGGGGGCCCCAGGGGCCTCCCAAATGGATCGAGAACCTGGGGGTACCTAGGAGGAGGAGCAGGAGGAGGAGGAGAAGGAGGAGGAGGAGGAGGAGGAGGACGAGGACGAGGAGAAGGAGGAGGAACAGGAGGAGGAGGAGGAGGAGGAGGAGGAGGAGGAGGGAGGAGGAGGAGGAGGAGGAGGAGGAGAGGGAGGATGAGGAGGAGGAGGAGGAGGAGGAGGGGGAGGAGGAGAAGGAGTTGGAGGAGGAGTTGGAGGAGGAGTTGGAAGAAGAGGAAGAGGAGGAGGAGGAGGAGGAGGAGGAGGAGGAGGAGGAGGACAACGAGGAGGAGGAGGAGGAGGAGGAGGAGGAGGAGGAGGAGGGGAGAAGGAAGAGGGGGAGGGAGAGGACAGGAAGAGCACCCCTTCCTCCCCCCTTGGCGGCGCGTCTCCTTCTGCAGCGCCCCTCGCCCGCATCCCACCCCCCCTCCAAGCGGCGCGCACGAGGGAAGTGGCGCGTTTTTTGGGGGCGCTGCTGCCACTTGAGCGCCCTCGTGTAGGAGGAGGAGGGGGCGCGGATGACCTTGATCTCCGGCGACAGTTATGTTGCTCCCATCGTACTTAGACCAAATCCCAACAATTATTTCGAGCACCCGGAAAAGTATCGAAACAGTGTCGAACGAGTATCGCCTCGTAGGGCCCGACACGTGAAAACCCTCCAAATTCGGTACTTTCCTGGTCTTCGTGCATGTTTTCAGGCGATCAAGGCTCAAGTAGGTTGGACCATCATAAGGCGACATGTTCTTTTTCCATCCGGGCGCTTCTCCTGGATCTCGGCCTCGGGGGGGCCTTCTTTTCGAAGAAGAAGGAGACGAACAACGCCATAAGCATAAAAACTGTTGGCGCTCCGCGTTGGTTTCTTGGATCCGCGCTGGGCCTCCCCAGCGGCGCCTCTGGCGCCGCCCCTGGCGCGCTCCGCGCGCCAGGGAGGGGGGTCCAGCGCAGGTCCAAGAAATCCGCGCGGAGCGCCAAAACTTGTGTTTATGGCGTTGTTTCTTCTTCTGGTTCTCGGGGCCCGGGACCATCGAACATGGATCCAGGACGCAAGCCACCCCTAGGGAAGGGGTCGGGACCTTCTGGGGCCGCGGATTGAAAAAAAAAACATCTCGGAGGATGTCGGGGGATGAGAAGACGGAGGAGGAGTAGGAGGACGACGACGAATTGGAGGAGGAGGAGGAGGAGGACGAGGACGAGGAGAAGGAGGAGGAGAAGGAGCACTAGAAGGAGGAGGATGGGGAGGAGGAGGAGGTGGAGGAGGAGGAGCAGGATGAGGAAGAGGAGAGGTTAGAGGTGAACCGACAGAACCCTGGGTAAGCAGCCCAAGAATTGCAGCAATCGCTTCGCACATCAATGCGCAACGTTTCTGGCCATGCCTTCGACAATTGCAGACACGACTTGAGGTCTGTATCTCACAGGGTGGGTCTGGATTGGGATCTTCGTGATTGGGGAGGGTGGTGAAAAAAGCACTGCAGCACACTGCCACCCGTCCCGCGTGACCGAGTTTCCGTCCTGGATCGTTTCCCGACAGTCCCAGGGCCCGGTAAGGGCCCCCAGGGGCCACAAACGGCCCAAAGCCGCCCGCTCTTCTCGTTCAGGACGCGAGGTGAAGGTTGGAGGGTCCAGGGCCAGGGGAGGGTTGGAGGGTTGGAGGTCCAGGTTGGAGGGCTGGAGGGCTGGGGACGCCTGATGTTCGGTTTGGAGGGGCCCGTGCCAGGGGAGGCCGCTCTGAGAGGGCGACGCCCTTCAGAGCGCCGAGGGGGCCTCGGCAAGCCTGCCCCCCTCGCGCCCGGCCCCTTACGTGCGCCACCCCTTCCGACCGTGAGCGCGAGACGCAGGTCACCGCGCCGCTTGTTCCGACGCGCGGCCCTACGTCTTGGGGAGGGCGCCTCGGCCGCCAGGGCAAGCTCCGCCTCGGGCGCAGGGCCTGTTGCTCTTCAAGTTCTTTGTAAACCATACCCTGCCCGCCCCAGTCAGATTCCACTGCCCGGGGCCAGTTTGGCCAGTTTCAGTATACAAAATCCACGCCCCAGGGAGGGAAGCTTGTATACCAGACCCATGACCAGGACCCTCGCTCGCCCCCGAGGGTTTTTGGGTATAGTATACAATTTTGTCGGGCGCAGCTGGGGGTTTGCTGCGGGGCTGGCCTCGTCGTCCTGTGGCGCGAGGCGCAGGGCTTGCCGTGGGACTGCCGTGGGGTAGGCGTCGTCCACTTAGGACTTGGGCGCGCTCAGAACAAACGGCGCGGCGACATACCCGTATCCGTGGCCTCGCGGGCCTGGCCCTTGGGCCGCGACAGTGAGGATATTGCGGGCGTGTTTGCTCGCGGAGGCCCCGCGCGGAGCGCATCCGTGCGGCCGCGTTTCCGCGGGATCGCGCCCCAGAGTCCAGACCGCGAGCGCGCGGATCCGCATATGATCGGCCACCTCTGGTGGCCTGGCTCGGTGGTGCCTCTCTCTCTCCGCTCGGCACCACTTTTGGGGGCGCAAGCAGAGCAGCACGTCCCGCATGGCACGGTGGCGCCTCCGTGCCCGAGGGGCTTACGGCCAAACAGTGGCTCCAGGATTTGAGCTGGAGCCAGAACCGGAATGAAAGCGGCGACGGAACCAGCAGCAAAACCGGGGTCGGAACGGGCCACAAAAGCGGCAGAACGGATCTGGTAACAAAAAGCGGCCCTGCCGTTTCCAGGGCCCATCAATTTCGCGGCAGTCCGGGGAGACCCAGGCATCCCCAAGAACGCCCTCGGCGAGGCGCAGTTGTGGAAGCGCGTCCCGAGGTTGGAAAACCGACGAGGACGAGGACGGACACGAGCGAGAGCCTCGAACACTTCGAGAGTGAAGCTCTCGACCCGTCGAGCCCTGAAGCCAAATCCTGCCGTCGGTCGTCCTGCTGTCGTGGGCCACGAGAAAAGGTGGGGGGGGGCGTCTGCCCGCCGGGGCGCGGGTGGGCCCGCGCCCGAACACCTCCCCCTGCCCAGACCCCCGACGTCGTGACTTGTTCACAACGTCGACCCCCAGAGGTCTGGATCCCTTTCCCCGCATCGGTTCTTCATCCCGAGTCGTCTTCCGACGGCCCCGAGGCCCGGGAAGGGCCCCCCGAGGCAGAATATAGCAACAATAATTCCCGTCCTGATGTTTTCGCAGAGCGAGGAGGTCTGGGTCGTGTGGCTACGCCGGGAGACCACCGACAGGGCCCACCGTCACGGACGGACAGGAGCCAACATCTCGAGCCTCGCAGCACGACGCGGGCACGCTCGGCGCCGCCCGCGCAGAACGCCGCCGCGCGCGAGCTGCTCGTGGACGTCTGCCAGCGCTACCGCTGGATGAGCGTGCAGGAGATCAACGAGGCCCAGCGCCGCCAATCCTTTGGCTCCTCCTCAGTATTGTCATAATAATCCGTACCCTAATCCTGAGCATCATGGTCATCAGCATCATCAGCATCATCATCAGTATCATCATCATCATCATCATCATCATCATCATCATCATCATCAGCAGCAGCATCATCATCATCACCATCGTCCTCATCATTATCTTCTTATTCTTCATCATCGTAATCGAACTCATCGTCACCGTCATGAGCATGCTCATCATCATCAGCATCAGTATGAGCATCATAATCGTCAGCATCAGTGTAATCGCCATCGTCCTCGTCGTCATCGTCATCATCATGATGAGCATACCCATCCTGATTCACATCCTCATCATTAGCATCATCGTTATCATCATCGTCATGATCGGTGTCATCATCATCGTCGCCGTTATCAACATCCTCGTCATCGTCGCCATCATCACGATCTTCATCATGATAGTCATTACCATCATCACCCGCAACCTCATCCTCATCCTCATCCTGGCCATCATCGTCATCACCTGGTATCAGTGTCAACATCATCATATTTTCCACACCCATCACCGCATATTTTTTCCATCCGTCCACAAACTCGGCATTTTCACCCCCAGCAGCTAGCACCCAACTCCAATTACACCTCCACCGGGTGACCTCCAACCTCCACCAGTTCCGCACCCTGACTTCTCACATCCAGCATCCGACATCAACGTTCACACCATCACCCCCACCTATCGGCTTTCAACCTCCACCAAGCCAGCACAACCACCTGCAACACCCAGCATCAAACATTCCACATACACCTTCACCCATCGACCTCCAACGCGCACCAGCGCAGCATTCCGACCTACAGCATCAATTCTTCTGGCTTCGCATGGGCGGGTTCCCACGCCCCTCCCAAGCCAGCCCAAAGGTGACAGCTCCACTATGGACCACCCTCCCCCTCCACTCCGACGGCAGCCCCTGCACCAACGCCTCCGCTCCGACGACAGCCCCTGCACCAATCTCAACACTGGCACCTACGCCGACACCAATATCAAAGCCCACCCCAGCACCGACGCCAACGACATCCGACGCTTACTCTCCATCTCCGGCTTCACCTCCACCCGCCCCATTCCACCATACGGGCCGTGCATGCGCACTTCCATCTCAGCTCCGACTCCTGCCCCGACGCTTGCGCCGCCTCCAACTCTACCTTCGCGCGCGGGCTTTATGTCTGGTTTGAGCCCTCAACGGCCGCCGTTTCCAGCACCCCACCGACTCCAGTTCACCAGCGACTGAATTCAATGCACTACCTGCGCGCAGGGAGTTGAGCTGCTGGGCCCACGACGCACCCGTACCACTACCCGTGCCCGTCACCCTACAGCCTCCGCCCTGGCACGGGGACGGCTACCCGAAATACCTGACGTGGCTCCGACGGTCATCATGAGTCGCAGCACCAAGATGGACAGGGAGGTCTTGACATTGGTGCCGGGGTGCGACACCATGGTGGCGACGGTGTGAGCCACTCTTCCGCACGCTCCCTCCTTGGCGGGGCCTCCTCCTGGTTTCTCCTTCCTCCTCCTCTTCGTTGTGGAGTCCGATATCTGCTGCTCTGCGCAGTGGGGGCACGAATTGTCCGCTCCAGCGGGCGCCTGCGGCAGGCTGGGTTCTCACTCCGTTTCTTTGCGTGTTTGCCAACGCACCGGGCGAGGAGGGGGAACAACAAATTGCCCTCTTCCATGCTGATTGTGACGGGCCCATTGTTTCTAGTTGCGTACTCCGACCTGCGCGTTGCTTCGCGACGAAAAGAAAAATCCATCCCCATCACAATCACCATCCCCATCGTCCTTTCTCTCGTGCTCCTCGCCATCATCGTCAGTGTCATCATCACCATCATCTTTATCATCATCGTCATCCTAATCCTCAGCAGCAGCATCATCATCACCATCCTTTCACCATGCCATCACCCGGACCACATCGCCATTATCGTCATCATCCTCATAGTCGTCTTCAGCAGTCACAACATCCCCAGACTCGTCCTCATGTTCAGTCCCAGTATCATCCTCATCATGGTCACCACCATCATCATTACCATGGCTGCGGTCATCGTCGCCATGTTCATCCTCGTCGGTCATCATCATCTTCATGATCAATCTTACCATCACCCTCATCAGCCTCCCCATCCAAAGCATCATCATCACCATTAGCATCAGCATCAGCTTGATCGCCATCATCATCATCACCGTCGGTATCCACCGCATCGTCATCATCATCGGTATCACCGTCATCGCCATCATCCTCGTCGTCACCATCTTTTCCGTCGTCATCATCATCATGATCGTCGTCGCTACCCACACCATCAGCACCAGCATCATCATCCGCATCATTATCATCATCCCTGTCATCATCGTCATCACCCTTGGCATCATCATCATGACAATCACCGCCACCACCACCACCATCACCATCAGTTTCTTGCTCCTCCTTCCCCCCTTACCATCATCACAATATGTTTCAGAATCGCCGTCATCGCTGGCTTGGACCGAGGGTACTTGCGACGTGACGTGGGCGCCTGTGTGCCCTTGGAGATGGGGATGAAGATGAAGCTGAGGAGGAGGAAGGATCTCATGATGGCTGCGATGGAGATGAGGATCGAGATGGAGATGATGGGAACAGCACGGATGAGTGTCAGGATGCGCATTCGAAAAGGAATGATGAGTATGATGAGGACGGCCACGTGGACCATCTGGATCCATGTGTAGTGGGACCCATGTACATCTTGATTCAGCTGGGTGCATGTGTCCATATGTGACAGCAGGTTATGTGCAAAGCAATACCTGGGTGTGGTAGAGCCAGTCTGGTACAGTTGGTCCTATGTGTTTTGCCGTATCGCGTTGGACTCGGCCATTCGCGTCCATTGCTATGTGTTTGTTGATTGTTGGGTCTTGGTGTGGACACTTAGATTAGTTTTACTTGAATAGACAAGACACTTCTGTTTCACGGCTTTCAGGCCCCAGTATGAGAAAATCCCGAGTCATTTGCACTGCGGTATTGCATGTTGAATCATGTTGAGAGCCGCTCTGACGCCGCAGCCAAGGATAGACCACAACAAAAAAAATGGCGCGTGACCCTGGGTCTCGTTGTGACACAGTCACGACGGGAGACTCTAGCCAACTTCAGCCTCGGGGGGCCCTCGCCGAGCACCCCGATCGTCAGACTACGACCTGGGACAAACATCCGGTCCCATGGCAAGGTGTCCAGACCTCCGGGGGTCCACGCTATGGACAGATCACGACGTCGGAGTTCTAGAAGGAGCGGATGATTCGGGGTGGGAGTCGGCGCGCGCTGTGGCAGCCTTGGCTGTCAGCTCTAGATGGCCAGGGGGGGAGAGAAACGACACAGACACTGATAAACGTCGGCTCCCAAAAACATCTAGCAAAATATGGAGGATGGCGGGGAAGCCGAACATCCATAACTCGGGAGCGGCCAAGAGGGAGGTGATGACTGGGGGGGGGGGGGATATCATGGCGTGGGCTCTGATATTTCCTCAGCTTTCATGGCGCCTCTTCGTATTGCATTTCGCACCTGGCCCCCCCCTTGTGCCGCACACATGCCGCCAGCCATGATTTGCACCCCCTCCTCTTGGACGTCCCCTTCTTGGCCGTCCCTGAGAAAAGAGCACGAACGATGTTTTGTTGCTTTTCTGGAGGCCCTCGCTTGGCCCCAGGCCCGTCAAGAAACGACTCAGGGTGGACAGCTTTGTCCCCGGGAGTGGGTCGAGGCATCGGGTTTCCCGTGTTGGAAGAATCAAGACATCGAGTCTGTGGGCAGGGGTCCCTCCAGCACTGAATGTGCGTCCCCCTCACCTGCGGTCCCCTACATCTGCGCGCCCAATGTCACTCTTGCGTGCAGCGGGTTAGAAGGCTGGCCCACGTGCGTTCAAGTCCTCCGCCTCGCATTCTCCACGAATGTCTGCAGCCATTTATGCTCGAGTGCATTCGAGACTGGCGCCTCCGAATTTCGTTTTTGGGCGTTTACCTCGAGGGCTCTTCAAGATGAGAACCCTGGACGCTGTATTGGGATGGTCCTTTGCCGTGGTCAGTGTGGGGATGATGGTAGTGCTTATGTGGTGGGCCGCACGGTGTCAGCGATCTACTCGTCTCTCCACCGCCACGAAGCGCGAGGCACTAGTCGCACTTCGATCGGGATTTGTCCTCTTGGTCATGACGATCCCGATTCTCGACGCCCGATTGTGGAACCTATTCTCTAAGAACCTCCAGTCTATCTATTCGTCGTTGCCTTTCTGGTATTGCTTCGTAGTCGATACGCACTTGGGGCGGTGCCTCCGGAACAGCTACAACGCTTTGGTCGGAGTGTTCATTGCTGCCCTGGCCATGGTTCTCATGAACTATCTCATGCCTGGTGGAGCAGGCCCTTGGGGTGCAGATCCAACATACGTGGAGGCGGCCTGGGTGCCAGGAGGGTACAACAAAGTCGTTACCCTTGTCTTGGGTGTGCTCATCGGGTATCTGTTTTTCCTCATCGACTTTGATGTTTCCACAAAGCAGTACGGCCTGGCGGGTTTTGCGTGCATCTTGCTGGACTTCATGGACCCCAACCAGGGGGCGGACAATTTCAGGGGAGTTCTGTGGAACTACAACGGGGTGCCGACATATTCTGGGCCGACCTGGTCCCAGTTTTACCTCAACATTTTGGCGGTCTCGCTTGCGTTGCTCACGCTGCCCTCGAGCCCGTCATTTCAGCATTGCCCACGCCAGACGTCCTGGTGCCGGGACGACGCAGTGCAGGGCTACGCCCTGTTGGCGCAGGACACGATGCTGGGCTTCGAGCGGCTGGTGATGCACTTCCGCAAGGGCAGCAGCGCGTTCGGCCTGGACAGCTCCTACCTGTTTCTGAAGCAGCTCGGCGCGCGACGCACAGCGCTGGAGAAACTCCTGGAGGACGCCCGCTGGGAGACGACGAAGCCGGACTCGCTGCGGGAGCTCCGCAGGCTCT